ACAGAGAGGTCTGAATTAAATTCAGGACCGATGTAGTGCACGGTTCCCCCTCTAACTGCAAAAAAAATCTGTGTGCACACAACTTGGTAAGTTTGTTCCAAGTATGGCAATGTATAAGTTTTTTAAACTCATCATGTCTCATAGATATTTGGCTGCATTATATTCCGGTATGCCTTTATATATTCGTACATTTTTTGCAGATAAATTTAAAGTCAAAATTTTTGTATGAAATTTTTCTTCATGTCGCATTGCATATACATGTATATCTACCGTATTTATTTTTCACGTTTCGCTTACTCACGCAGATGAAAGTGTATCTCAATTTGAATTACATTTTCACTTTTTGATATCTAGGGTGAATAGAAAAGATCGGAAACACAACGGACACGACAAATCGAATTTTTCATCGTACATCCATAACCATAATAGTGTATCACATAGCTCTTCATAGTAAGAAAAGACAGCCAGATGCTGCCGGACGAAATAAGCTATCAGAAGTGTTTACCAAAGGCATGCTCGTAGGGTTCGGCTGATCACATTTTAGGGTCATTACGATACTTCTAAGGAGGAAGTGAGCTATAGCAGTCAATTATTCCGTAAAATGAATAGTTCTATAAGTCTTCCATATTGGTGACAATTTCACTGGTTTAACTCGACGCACCCCAGAGGAAGGGACTAGGTAACACATACCCACGGCATCGCAGTCGGGTACTCCGTGCCACGCATCCCAGTCGCAGCCAGATAAAACACTCCACAACATATCAACAACTTTCCAACTATATGTCATTGAGCTCCTTCATTTTTGAATTCAGGTTTGGTTGAATCTAGGATCTTTCTACTTTGGAAGTGTTACGGGTTGAAGCAGTGTGAAACTCCAAACATTGCTGGCATCGTTACGTTCCTGTTATCTCTCTCAAAGTATTTAGTATTCATCACGCTCGGCACTTAAATCCACCTGTAGCTCTTTTAGACTTACTGCTCGTCCCAAGCACAACCAAAGAAGGAGAATTGGGCATGATGTTTGCAACCCCATGACGTAGAAAAAAATCTTGCTTAAAAAAAATCCGATTAAACAAGCCAACCTCTGCCCTGAGAGGTAAAGGAAGAATTATGACACCTTAGGATGGACGCCGAAATTCTTTGGAATTCATGAGGCCGATGCCTTTTCTAACAACCAGATTAACAGTTTTTATAGGTACATAGAACTTCTAGCCAATGTAAGAGACCGGGAGGACCAGTCAAATAACAACGTAAATAAGGAGATACAACTTGACGGCACTTGAAATCGACAAAACCAATCGGACCGAAGCTGAACAGCAAAGGCAGTATGCTGCTGTTCTCCAGTTACGAAGAGAAAAATGCTCCACACACCAAGGGAGTTACTCTGATGCCGTCTAAACGAGCACGAAGTGCACTTATAGGATGGGAATCTTATTGATCCAGGATCACTAAAGCATCCTCTGAAATAAAGAAGGAGGGAATTACGATGAATCTTATCCAATGTTATGCACACATCAATGATAGCAATGGCGATGATAAAGATCAGTTCTATGAGAGTCTGTAATCAATCGTAGTGAAGTGCTCAAGAAGGAATCACACTATCCTGATGGAAGACCTAAACTCCAAAGTCCGAATGGACAACACCGGGTATGAAGATAACATGGGACGACATCGACTGGGAGAAATAAACGAAAATGAGGAGAGATTTGTAAACCTATGTGCATTCAACAAACTGGTTGTAGGCTGCACAGTATTCCCACGCAAACGCGTGCAAAAAGATGAACGGGTCTCACCTGACCACACAACAGAGAACCAGATCCATCATGTATGCAACACTAAAACATTCAGAAGGACGGTGGAAGATGTGAGAATCAGGAGAGGAGCTGATGGCTCCAGATAACCACCTGGTTGTGGTCAGGATGAAATCGAAGCTAAAGAAGCATCATAAAACTGGAGGAACAGTATTACAAAGGTTCGATAAAGCCTTCATTCGAGATACTAACAAACTCAACGAATTCAAGATAACTCTCAACAACAGGTTCCAAGCCTTACAGGATCTACTGAAAGAAGGAACTAACAAAGAGGAAAACTGAAAATATATCAAAGAAGCATTAACTTCAACGTGTCAGGTTGTTTTAGGCCTCAAGAAGCATTAGCATAAGGAATGGATCTTTATGGAAACTCTGGACAAGATCAAAGAAAGGAAGAACAAGAAGGCAACAATTAACAACAGCCGAACACGAACAGAGAAAGTCCAAGCACAAGCTGAGTACATAGAAGCAAACAAGCAAGTTTAGAAGCGCATTAGATCTGACAAGGTGAAATACGTGAAAGATCTAGCAAAGACAGCGGAAGAAGCTTCAAGAGAAGGAAATATCAGACAACTATATGAAACAATGAAGGAACTGATAGGAAAATATAGCATATATATAGTATAGAGATCGGTCAAGGAAGAGGAAGGGAAGCCAATCACTGAGATTCAAGAACAGAGGGGCAGATGGGTAGAGTTCTTCGAGCAACTATTGAATAAACCACCAAACGTCGATGCAGCATACATAGACATTCCCATAGGTGGCAATAGGATAGCCATTACACAAACTAAGAGCGCAAAAAAAGCAGGACTTGATAATACACCAACTGAAGCTCTGAAGGCAGACACAGAAGTAACTACAAACATGCTTCACATTCTTTTCGGGAAGATTTGGGAGGAAGAGCAAGTGACGACAGACTGGAAAGAAGAAAACCGAATCAAGATACAAAAGAAAGGAGATCTGAGCAAATGTGAGAACTACAGATGCCTCACACTACTGTCAGTACAAGGGAAGGTTTTCAACAAAGTATTACTGAACTGGATGAAAGATTCAGTAGATGCCTAGTTTGAAGTTCAACAGGTTAAATTTTTCAAGGGTCGGTCGTGAACAGACCGATTCGTGGCGACACGGACCATCGTTGAACAATCAATTGAGTAGAGTCGGTCATTATACGTTAGCTTCTTTGATTATGAGAAAGTATTTGACAGTGTTGATAGGAGAACATTATAGAAACTTCTTAGAAACTATGGTGTACCTGAGAAAATCGCCAACATTATCCGGAATCTATACGATGGACTACATTTCTCTTTCTTGTGGTGGTGAACTAGATTATAAAGACCTCCACATCTGAGGAGAAGTACAGTGTAGCAGCAGCCTTTGGATCAGTGAGCTTCAAAATACCCAACGGAAAAATCAAGATTCTTAAATACAACACGGAGAACACCAATACGATCACTCTTCATGGAGAAACTCCGGAAGAGGTGGAATCTTTCATGTACCTGGAAAACATCATCGATTAACGTGGAGGATCTGATACAGACGTAAGGGCGAGGATTAGCAAAGCAAGGACATTTCTAAATCTGAAGAATATATGGAATCTTCAATACGAACGTCATGACAGTTCTACTATACAGAGCTGAAACGTGGAGAACTGCTACAACCATCATCAAGAAGGTGCGAGTATTTATAAATAGTTTTCAACGCAAGGTACTCAACATCTTTTGACTGGTTACCACCCAAAACAGCCTTCTGAGATAAAGAAAAAACCAGGTTCCGTCTGAAGAGGAAATTAGGAAAAGACATCGGAAGTGGATATGACATACATTCGGAAAATCATCAAACTGCATTACGAGACAAGCGTTAACTAGGAATCCTGAAGGGAAACGGAAAGGAGGAAGGCCAAAGTACATACTAAATAGGGAAGTGGAAGCAGACATGAAAAGGATCAACGTGAACTGGAAAGAACTGTAAATGATTGCGCAGGACAGGGTTGGATGGAGAATGCTGGTTGGAGGACTACGCTCCTCGACGAGAGGTAACAGGCGTAAGTAAGTTAGCAAGCAACACTTCGCACTTAAGCCTTCTTCCTTTCAGTTAATGTTTGTTTCTCCGCTTCTGTTCACCACAAATCACATCTAGTTCCTGTGATCCATGCATAGTCTCCTCAATGACGGTTTCATACTAGGGACAGTGATCAGCTTGAGATTTACCTACTAATTAAACATACCTTGTTTGTTCTATAGATCATAAAGGTAGATAATCTCTGTAGATCATAGGGGCCCTGCTTAGGTTGGACGTCAATGTCACACATCACCTAATGTGGTCTATCCTTCCACTGTATCCAGGTACGATGACTCCTTCGATGACCGTACAACACAAACAATGTAATTGCAAAAATATATTGGTAGGAGTGGGTACATGAATCAGAGTGCCACCACTGCCACATGGGTCAATCTATGATCTGCAAGTAATTAATGAGAGTTAGCCGTCTATTGCCTTGATGAGGATCGACAAACTGTTCGTTATTCAGTGACCGGACTTATGGATAATCTGTGTAAACCCAGTAACAATTCACTGCTACTACAGTTTTATTAAGGATGACATAGCTTTATCGATCCAGTTAACTCAGAATTAGCACGAATAATATAACCAATAATCGGAAATCGGAGACATACTACAGAAAAGTATTAATTTTTTAGAATATGTTACAGGGAATAGTGGTATAAAGAACTTCTCGGTTCTTCTGGATAAAGGAAATATTTGGATCTGATTGACTGATATCCATATCTATACTTAGTTACCTACCTGGAAACAATGGAAATTGCTGCTTTGTAACACGGAATGACGATAAGCTAAAGCTCTTTTTGTTCTATCGAAAACCGTCTAAGCCATTTGTTTGGTTCATACTTCAATAAAAATGTGATAGAAATTGGTAGAATGTTGCTGAAATAGTTTAACAAAGACATCTGATATCTACTTTCAAAAATTTGAAAAGCGATTATGGTGTGTTGTTTGGATATATCAGTTAGCTAATGAGTGCATATAACCTTTGAGAGAATCGTTTCAATTGCATATTTTCGAGATGAGTTCTCTTATTGACTATGTTTGTCGTTACAGTGGTAGAGTATGTTAGATTTTTGAAGATTACAACTGTTTTAGAATGAGTGGGTATATCAATGGAATCAATATATGCCTTTGATTCCGGATTGCGGGAGCGAAATTTTATTCCCCTTTCTGCTCGTTATTTTCACACTTTTGGGATTATTGCCTTATACCGTTATTCTAATAGCTTCAAAGTCAAGTCACAGCCGTTTGATTTCGTGCTTGTATTTGAGCAAATCGGTAAGAAAGTTTGGTTTAATCTCCTAACTTTTCTTAGGGTCTCGTTTGCATTTCTTTACTTCTTAACGCCGTTTGGATCCTGTACGTCGTATTGGAAATGCGAGAATTCGGTTTATATTCGTTTGTTCGACCTGCATTAATATCACTTTCTCTCGTGAGTGTATCAATTGGGTTTATTATGTGGTGCAAAATATGTTCAGTTAATGCACTTGATCATAATTCTTTTTAACTATAATTTTGCATGAACATGAATGGGTGGTATTTTTCCGTGCATCATCATCAATGTAATAAAGTGTCAATACAGAGTTTGTCTGTATTTACACCGAAACAATCTCGTTTTATCGAAAGCAGTTTTAATCAGTTGCTTATAGTTACTGAAAAAAATTAGTTTTATTTCTCTTGTTACATACCATATTGTGTTTCATATATAACTAGAATGTAGGACAAAAAGATTTTCCGATTACTTGCTGATTACCTCTCAAAGTTTATTCCACAGGGCTTTAAGATAAATAAATACTTCACCACAAATAGATATGATACTAGTCATGTCTATGGTTTCTTGATGTCATTTGTAAGATAGAAAGGTTGGATAGACGATTTCATTTTATCCCGTTTCTCGAAGTTGATTTCTTGCGTAAATCCCTAAAAACATCATTGTCGTTGACTATCTAATTCTAACGACTAGTTAAGCAAACATCAATATATCAGACTTCTGGGCGCTAAGAGAGCTTCAATCCATATGATGATCTTTAATATTAATATTGTTGATTTGTGAAGCTATTTCGCCAACAATCTTTAATCCTATTCTTGAAACGTAACCTTTAAGAACAATTTTCAGGTTAATAGATTTCATTAGAATCAGCAGTTTTTATTAACTCATCAGAATGCCTCATCAACTTCTAGGTATTTCCTACAATGGGACTTTCTAATTACATAAATCACTTGGGAGTTAAGTATCAAAGTAAGAATTTGTGTCAGGCAGAATTTTAGTTAGTGATTGTTTATTATGATAGGATATTAAAGGGCCATATTCTCAAGTTTAAAATAATAGGTGAGAATTAACTGTCGTACTCCATGGTGTTAGATCAAAATTTTACATATTAATAGTTCGGGTGGTTTGCCAGGATATTAATGCTTCTATCTAGATATAATGGGTGCTCCGTGTTTCACCTGAAAGAAAAACCATCATCGATGTAGCATGCTGGTTGTCTGAAGGAAACACCTTACTGCTGTCACACCTCTGTACAGTCAGCAGTACGACTTCGCCGTCGGACCTTGGGTTTGTTGCTTTTAGTCTTACCGCTCTTCAACCGACCTGTCTGACATGGTAGAACCTTGCGGAACGGTTGTTGCAGCCAGTATAGCTCGGCTGCTTCATCACGATAGGCAAGCCCGACCACTTCGTCAAGGTAGCAGTCTTTCTTTCATATATTACCACCTCTGAATTAACTACTTTTATGAATCCGGTGTTCATCTTGTGTTAATAAGGTATGGCAACTTTGACCGATGCATATATGTATCTGGTCCTACGTTTTAGCTGACAAATTGGAGTTTAACAACTGATTATACTTCTCTTATCTGGCTAACTTGATAATTGTATAGTGTTAAACTTTACTTTAACATCCATCTTTCATATTTTTAATTCATGTTGAACCCAGATTATAACTTGATTTCATGTGATAGAATAATTTATAGATTCTAAAAATCATTACTAGGAACTTTTATAAGCGTAATAGACATTAAAACTTAGAAATAAACAAGAATTGGGATTCTTTTAGTAAGTAACATTCAAGTGAAAAACTTGATCATTTTCGAACTTGAACTCAAAAGTTTTATACAGCTACGATTATATTGACCATTAATGTATTTTACTGAAATTTAAGCAATTACACTTTCTAGTACCTCATATGATAAGATGTCAACTATTTAAAACTTTGAATTGGTTTGATTTACATTTATTTTCATTGGAAACATTTTAGGTATCATTTATCATTGTTATACATTATGAACGCAAACGAAATACACCAAACTCTGGTGTAAGCTTTTACTATTTATTGTTGTTAAATTTTGTTTGGATATGCTGTTGCTGGAATCACACTGTTCACTACATAAAGGTTAGAAATATATGATATCTATTTTACTTAGTCTTTTTTATTTATTCCGTTAGTTTATAGTATTTGATGGTTTGCTCAACTGGTTAACTTTATGCATGAATTTTTACACATGCATGTCTTTTTAACTTATTTTAATTTTGTAAACTTGTGTTCGATGTATGATTCTAACCTGAGTGTGTAGTATGTATATGAGAATAGTCTATTGATAGTGTACATGAATGTTGAGCTTGCTTAAGAATTCTCTACTGATTTTATGCGTTCACATGTCCAATCTTTGGTATTCGTCATACGTTAAGCATCTATGTCTTGCGTTAAGTACAGCTCGCCGATCAAGTACACGTTTGTTCATTCTCATTTAATCCATACTTGTGTGTAACGATTAAAAACAGTACCCAGTTACTCAAACTAGAGTAATCTGAGCGAGTTTGAAGCATGACATTTAGCAGCAGACAATCAAGTCTATCAATCAAAATGGTCTACTTAATTGATTTTATCAATAACTTTTGTTCTACTCTCTTATTTTATTTTAACACATAGATATTGGTACAATAAGACACCAAATACATATGCGCCACACATATCTCAGTTGATATGTATGAGGGCTGTGATACTGCCTGGGTGTCCAAACCGAAACAGGTGATTTTCTTAGGAGATCACACCCTGAGCCTTTGACTTGAAGGTCTGACCCACAAGGCAGTGGAGCGTCGTAAAGAAGATGCAGTCCCGTGGTAGCTGGTGACCAACATTAGGTTCATATACCATTTGTTCCTCCAGGATACTGGAACCCATATGTATCATTGGTTTGGAATCAGGGTTTTTCAACTCCCCCAGGTGGACTTTCCATGTCCATCGACCCGGTTAAAGTGCAGGACATTCGCTTTTCGTCCTCTCAATTTCGTAAATAACACCCTCGACACGAGAAGACAGTAAGTAGGACTTCCCTGGCAGAGGGTCTATAAACGCGTGGCCGTGTTAGAGCGTTTGGAGAGGGAGAGCGGACTCCCCTCACTCTCGGCCGTACCAGGAAATTCGGGGGCCTACTCTCTTCCGATTTGGAATTCTTATAATCAAAAAAGATTACACGAAATGAAGTATTTGTTTATTCTTTTGGTACATCCCAGAACTTAATAAAATAGATCATCATTACTATTCTTGATCATACAAAGTGTTTAAATGAATTAAAAATATGATGATGTTTAACTTCAATCTTATGTAGAACTTCGTGAAATTTATCCGTATTCAGTTCTTAAAACGCTTAAAGTTAGTAAACATACGCCTGTTGTTCATCTGTACAGTCAATTTAAAATGGTATGAAAGCTCAGTCGCAAGAACTGTTTTTTTACTTCTGATGCAGATTGTATCCAAAGCAGATACTACACGTTGAGTGGATTTCATATGATTCTGAGAATATTCAAGGATGTTTGTAATTCCTTGAGATTTTAGTGGCCCCGGGATCTGACTCCAGTTAGATCGTACGAATGTTATTGAAATATACATATCGTCAATCCTCGTATATAATTATCAACTTAGGTCGCGTTAGTGAATAACAATTAAATGTCTTGAAAATACGAGAATGAATTTCGAATACGTATATTTTGTACAATCGTTGATTGGAACAGACAATCAGAAAGATGTAGGAAATGGAGCGAAGCAAGAATGACGTATGATTGAGGTGGCAGATGAGCCAACTCGATTTAATCAAGCGTTAATCCACATTTATAGTCACACAAAAATAAGCTACATACATGTGATGTGTAGGATAAGAAGTACACATACATACGCTCATATAAAAACTGTCAGGGTTGATCAGTAAATATTTAACAAGGTCAAAACGTGGTTCAAGAAGA